AAGTTGCAAAGCACAACCAATAAAAAAATATAAACCGACTGTTAATGGCCAGTCTCCCACCGCGTTAATTACGCTAACATTCCTTCCACTCGTTCGATTCCGTTCATTCATTCTCAATTACATCTGTTAACTAAACTATCGGCGTCACCCTCGTACTCTGGGGTTCATTTAACCCCTCGAATATAAAGAGAACAATAACATTGACTGGTTCGCTCCAGCAACTGATTGCGCAGTATCAAATCAAAGGCGTTGCTATTTTAATTTCTTTTAGGGAATGCTTTGTTATTGTTTGTGTCAATCAACTTCAATATCGAAATAATTCAATTACACAGATACCAGTCTTTTTTATTAAATGAATAAAGCGACAACAAAATTGATTGGCTTCGTCTACTTTACACACTTATAATAATGTTTTGAAGTTTTAATATAAATCCAGCTGATCCCTTAATCGTCCTAGCAGACAATGAGGATTTCATAAATCAATCAAAGTTTCAAACAAAGATCATAACTCCAACGCAACGACTCTTCTGGAAAACTTAAATTACTCTTTTTTCCGCAATGCGAGTGCGAATAATCTTCTTGACGGGCTGAGAAATTGATGGCGTCGAAAAAACGCCAAGTCAAAATCCGACAAACTTTTTACGTCAGCCGAGTTTCACTTAGAGAAGTTTCTACATCCATTTAGAAGTTACTCCTATACGACAAGCTGACAAATTTTAATGAACCCAAGAGGGCTGCTAATGTCTGCGAGTCGCGTAATGGGAAAACTTTGACGCGTTCCCCCACTGCCGCGCCGCGCAACCGACGCTCCTACATTTTTACTCCACATATTCTATTGTTTTCAAGACATATTTACCAAAGTCATGACAAAACAGCGATTGTAAGTTCGCCAACTCACATTACGAAAACAGAATTGTTTGATTACTTTATCCGCTAATTTCGGCCGCCGAAATGCGTATACGTATGGGAAATAAAATGTAACACTATACCCCTGGGCGCGCTATAATAAAAAGCGCAATCATTTTGACGTGTGCCATTCCAACTCTTTCAGTGAACTCCGCCTAGTATAAATTACATTATAAATTTTAACCTAAACGTTCAGTGACCAACGAAAAAATGTATTAGGGGTGACATGATTGTGATTTAAACGGCTAACCCCCGCTTAAGGGCGGTCTCGCGTCATCCATCATACGCTTTACATATGTTTGAATAAAGCTCGTGGGAAAAGGATTTCCTCTCAGAAGTCAATGCCACATTTACTACAATAGGGTGACCAAACCAGCCAAATTAAATCCTAAATTTTGATAAAGATCCAAGTGATGAAGATTTTTGCTTTATGGTAAATTTTATTTATTTGAATGTGTCTAGCCAACAACTGTTTACACTTACAACTTAAAAGTATTACGGTCACTTATAGGCTAACACAGCATGCATAAATACTTAGATGCAGAAATTTGATTTATTTCTAATGTGCCTTTGCTTTTAATTAGGTATCTTTGTTATCTTTCAAAAACGTGTAGAAATACGATAAAATTGTAAAATTTACTCAAACCACCCGATTTATAATATATATTTATATTAGGTTTAGACCGTACACATCCGATCTAAATTTCATAAGAAAAAACACACAATCAATAAAAATTGTAATTACAGTTGGTTCGAGGCATATTTTTAATTTTATGATTTGAAACGTTAATTAATATAAATTAGCACTAGAAATATATGCATATTTTGCGGCGCATTATTCCCACCGTGATCCCAACGCATGGTATCCCTACCCTACAAATAGCGGATTAGGGCAGTTTGGCAAACAAGGCGTCACCGGCGCGTGCGACGCTTAGAACTAATGCTGTATTAATGTCTATTAGCTGGCCGCCATTGTTCTGCACCTAGCCTTAGCTATTTGTTTGGATTTGTGCTAGTAATCCGACAGTGAGGACTAAGCCGATAAATTTCACACGAGAGGCGTTAATAGAAGTCAAGTAGGTAGTTGGTTTGTTGTGATTTTAACAGATTAGGGCCTTTTATTCTGCATAATATTCTTAGACTATGGATATGAAACTGGGTGGTTTGGTTTAATAAGATCAGGGGAGAAATGATGAGATCTTTCATGATGCGGAAACTTATGGTATTTGCGATAGCGTTTAGTTTCATTGGTGAGAGTTTTCTACATGTAGGTACTTATCTATTTTTTGGAACATACCCTCGCAAAAACCTCTCGCTAATAATGTGAAGAATACTATCCAAAATAGTTATAAAGTTTTTGTCCTACATAGAGCAACAAAAGGGAAAAGGGAACAACGATTACCTTAAAATATCAAACTTGTACCGAAAACATAGAACAGAACTGTATAAGTAACTAACTGTGAACTAAAAAACATTTTCAATAACAGATTTCCCCGTTTCTACTTCCTAGTTAGCTTCTACACAGCTAATACAAAACACCAACTTTACAAGGCCAATGCCACAGATCGATTCCTTCCTTCGTGATAGTTACGATAAAACTGTTAAGCAAGAGGGGTAAAATCTTATCGCAGGAGGCACGTGTCATCAGCTCAGCCAACCCTAGCATTGTGACGTCACAGGGCATTCAGGTCACCAGCATTGTGAACTTGTCGGCTGAATGAGACCGCGGGTCTTCTTAAGGTGGTGTAAGTTCTATGTGAGTAGCTATGATAGGTTTAATTTTGTTGTTTGAATGTACTAGTTAGGTCATTGGGGTTTAATGAATTCTACACATTTTTCTAATACAATAGTTATCTAGTAGGTACCACAAACCGCACAATAGTTAACCCCAGTATAAAATAACACTTTTTTTATTGTATCGGTCCTCCCATAAAGCGTTCTCATTACCGGCGTTTCACTTTACACTTCCTGCTCATTCGTGTGCAATCTGTAGTGTGCAAATCCGTTAATCTTATTTGGTGGGTAGTCAGAACGCACGTGGCGCCACGTGGCACGAAATCAAACTAATCTTTAGACCGTACGCGTCGGCGGGCAACGCGCGTGCGCCGTCCCGATAACGCCAAGAAACGCCATTCATTCCCGCTCTTTTGTAGTGAACAATCACTTATTTATTTATGATATTTGCTACTAGTCAACCTGCCACCCTCGTGAGTTAATGTGTACTTAACTCGGCTAAAGCTCCGCGTCGTCAGATAGGGTGTCTTGTAGGGGTGCTAAACTTGTCGTTTATGTATAAGAAGACTTGTAACCGAGATGTGATTTAAGTATGGTAAATAATCATCTTTAGATAAGTTAACTTTAAGAATAAAGATAAAATACTTTTATCTTTTTGTAGGTAGTCTTGCCTTAAGTGTGGGAGAGCCTAGCTTCGGCACGAATGGGTCGGCTCGACCGGAGTGATACCACGGCCTCACAGAATACCGGCGTGAAACAACCCACAGTGTTGTGTTTCGCCGTGTGAGTGAGGTTACCGGAGGCCAAATCCCTTCCCTTACCCTATCCCTTCCCGATCCTTATTTCCGCAACCCCTATCCTATGCCGGCAACGCACTCGTAACTCTTTTGGTGTTGCAGGTGTCGGCGCCGATTGCTTACCATCGGGTAATCCGTCTGCTAGTTTGCCGACTTATACCACAAAAAAGCCGTGTCTGCTAGTTGACTGATGGTGCCCTAAATATCGCTCTGACAAGTAGATAAGTATCTTTTGATTTTTAATGTACATGTAAGAAAATGTGGGAGAGCCATGCTTTGGCACAAATGGGTGTCGACCGCAATGATACCACGTCGCAGAAAAATGGCCTGAAACAATTACAGCGTTGTATTTCGCCGTGTGTGAGAGTTACCCCTGAGGCTATCCCTCCCAAATCCCCAAATCTACAAAACCGTAATCCCCAAAAGGAAGGCACGTAATAGTAACTCCTCCGTTCTTGTGATCAGTCTGCGTTTGCCGTCTTATCACATAAAAAAGTCTACTTATAGTCTTCTTTTTATTTTAACCCTTTCTTGTTTCGAGCTAAATATTTTAAATATATATATATGAATAATTTCTTGATTCGTACTTACTTTGTGTCATAAATATTTGATATAATTTAAAAAATATTAAATTTGCCCGCAACTTAGTGGAATAGATTCTTGCAGATTTTTTGTTTAAAAACTATCCTATGTCCTTTCTCGAGTTCCAAACTATGTTTGTACCAAACACACGAAAAGGTTCAGTAGTTTAGGTGTGAAGACAAGACAGACAGGCAGAGTTAATTTAGATAAAACAAATATCTATAAAGAGCCATACTAAGCAATCATTTACTACTGTAGCGTAACCTCAAAGATTATTATAAACTAGTCCGAGATATACACTCGTAGTAATTACCAAAACGCAGTCCTAAATACTACAATTTATAGAAAACTGCATCAAATTTGCCGATAATCGATAAAAAGTCTTATGGTAAATAATTACCATACGAATTTTTTATTACATAGAAATACTAAACCCGTATCTATCACAAAAATACCATTAAAACAAGAAATACAGCTTGTAATAGAATATTAATATCAGAAATAGCTCACAATTAGCTGATTCAAAGCGAACACTTGGTATTTATTCATATTTCTAAGTTAAGGTGGATGCTATGTGCTTTTATAATGTAATGAGTAAATACCTATCACAGTTGGTTTAACGCTCTAAGGTTTCAGAACATATAGCTGACTATTATAATAGCTATGGAACCGAAACTTTAAAATGTCGACAATCAGTTTCCACATCACTGTTTAAGCAATCTTTAGCTGGTCACACTTAAAAAGTCTGTCACAAAGACAGATGTCAGCTAGCAAGTAGTGTCAAGTGTCAGTTGATCCGTCATTGTTACTGCGTCATTACGTCTGCTGCAGCTGCATAATATTTATTTTCGAGAATATTTCATAAACTCAAACTTATCAAATCCGTACAAGATGGGTGAAGAAGATGAATACGCCTGTGTAAATAGAGCACAACTGAAAATCAAGGACACATCTGGAATCAAAAAGAAAAAGAAGAAGAAGTCAAGTAAAGAAAAGGAAAAACTTATTGAAAACGATGTCAAACAACAAGTACAACAACAACAAACGACAAATACAGTTGTAAACACAAAAACAAAGGCTGAGATGGCGTTTCAGAAGATGCAGGAGAAGATGGTATGTTATTTAATTGGTTAGTCAAAAATACCACATGTAAAATAAGTAAATATTAGGACTCTGATACTCTGCATATGGTATTTTTAGATGGACACTGAACATTCCATTCGATCCGCATTAGCAGGAGAGTGAATCTACTTCTTCTCTCGGTCTCGAAATTTTCACTGAATATTTATAATGTTTGCCCCATTCAGGTGTGTGGCTGGTAAATAAAAAAAGTCACAAATTACTGCTAAGGGTGACTTTTCTTAGGAAATTGTCTTATTGATTTGGAAATTGCACAACTTAGTTCCATAACAAAACATTATGTACCATACCACCATCTCCAAATTTATTTTAAACCAGCTTCCGCCCGCAGGTTCGCCTGCTAGGTATATTCTTAAATTAAAAGTAGTCTATGTCCTATTTCGGAGTGTAGTATCTTATGCCTGTGCCACATTTCGTCCAGATCCATCCATCATAAGTGACAAACATCCAAACATCATAACTTATAATATAAAGAATATTAATTTTGCATTCACATTTACAATATTAAGAAGTAAAATAATTGGTTTTCAGACATTAACTAAACTAGTTTTTAACTTTTTACAGCAAAGGCAGAGGATTCAACAAAAAGCTGAGATGACTCACAAACAAAGAGTGGAGAAATTCAACCAGCATCTGGACAGTCTGACTGAACACTTTGATATACCTAAAGTATCTTGGACTAAATAATGAGGTCATCGGGACAACTATATTTTTGTTTATTCTACTTGAAAAGGGATTGCTTAAACCTCTGCTGTTTCAAAATCTTGTGTTACTTTAATCTACACACAGCAAACCAGGGGTTAGGAAATACATCCATGGAGCATTAGATGGGTTGATACTGAACTATAAATGGTGTAAAAAGTTTTTAATAGAATGACCCACTTAGTGAATTAACAAAATTCAATTTTTATATCAATACTGTAATTAAGTTATGGTTATTATACTGATGTGAAACTAAACACAGTAATGTTTTTGTCACCTTAATTGTAAGTTTGTCATAATGTCACATAACCTTTCCACACGGGACTTGCTGATTTAGTAACTTGGTCTATTGATCAGTATATTATAATTTGTGGACATAGGTACACGTAAATTGTACAATGATGAGAAGGGCAAGAGGTTAAGGCGTTTGCTTCTCATGTCTTTAAAACCAAGTAACATTTTACGAGTTATATGTAATTTTAAGTTTGTTTAGACACCACTGACAAACAGTAAAGGAAAAACATTGTGTGAAAATAGACTTATTTTTATTACTAATATAAGTATGTAATCTCAAATTTTTTGCCACACTTTCCATGAGGAGTGTGGCGTGTACAGCTTAAATCGTCTACGTGTGAGGAGAGGCCTATGCTCAGCAGGGCGCATCTATAGGTGTTAATTATTAAAAATATAGATTAAATTTTTAATGTTGTGTTTTCTTTTATATCCCTTACTTTATACAGTTATAGCAAATAATACGGTTGTTTCCAACTATACTCGGAATTTTAATTCCATTCCAGATTTGACAATTTCAGTGTTGCAACGTTATGACACGTAATAAATAGTGACGTTGCGAAATTATTCGATATGGAAATCGAATATTTCTGAATCGATTCCTCTCTTTTATAAATTTACTCTTGTAAACTAAGTTTATCAGGAAATAAAAAAAATCTGAACCGATAATTTAGTTTTGACAATTAAATAACGATCTGAGGCTTTTCTTTTGTAATTGTGTGTGAAATTAATAAAAAATGTGATCATGAAGGAACGTGACAAATAAAACAGACATTTTATAAATTGTCGCCGTCATCGCTATCGCTATCGCCGTTACTCTATGTAACATTTATTATGAATTGTGTCTTTGATATTTATTGTCAATTAACATATCTAGCTTACTCATTTTTTCCTCTTCTTTGAAAACATAGGATACACATTTAGACCATTCGGTAGCCGTAATTTTTTGAATGCCTTCCTGAAACTGATTCAATGATTGTTTATCGATTTTTGTGTTCATCACTACACTTTTATATGTGGTATCATTATTTCACAAAATGACAGTGGTCAATGTCAAATCAGGAATCGAATTAAAAGTCTGACTATAGTCAAATTCAATACTTTTATAGAAACGTCAAAAATTATACTTTTCTATGAAATTTGTATGAAAAACTGAGCTATGACGTCATAACATTTTTGCGTCAAATAGCATACTTATTTCACAATAATTAGCTAAACAAAATCTTAAACTTGGTGTATCGATCGGTCGATGAATAAAAGTATACTTATTTTTCAATATTTTATTGTATTGAAACATTGGATTAATTTATTTTTGACCTAGGAAACTACCCAATTGTATTCTACTTACTAGCTTTCGCCGACTTCTAGGTGGGTGATGTTTTGAATGGGATCATTCAGATGCCAAACAAATACACTTTATTGCCTTTTTCCCTCTACGCTAAAAAAAAATTTTGTAAGAATTCAAGGGCGGCAAGAATGAGCTGGGGTTGGACATTAGCCCTATAAGGCCGGGTCTGTGTCTGTGGTGGTCTATTGGCTCATTGAGGCGCGCACGGAACGCGCCATCCGCTCGGGTCTGGTTCTGGTCGGGCGGCGAGCTACTCTCACTCGCCGTCCGCAAACCCGTGCTTACGGTGGCTGGAGGTCGTCTCTTGATCCCCGACGGACGTGAGGAGAAGAATAGCATCACGCGGTCTGCCTTGTTTTTTGCTAGCATTACCTACTGCTTCGCAGAAAGAGGAAACGTTTTCCCAATTCCTCTCACTCCGCACCATGGCCTCGACTAAGGCGAGGCGCGAGAGTACGCCGCCATGAGAGGCGGTATCGGACTCTTACTGATTAAAACCACCCTCTTTCTGCCTGCTACAGACCGGGTTCGCGGTACATTATTGTGCTTGCCCCGCAACCCTAACTGAAGGACGCACTTGCATATCTTTTAAAAGTGAAGCTGTTATTTAGTGAATAAAACACTGAATGGTTATAACATTTTATTTAGATGTCTAGACAATATAAAAATTTGTATTCTAATGTCTTATTTTGGACGGACTTTATTACAGAAAGGTAACAACATGTTACTGATAAAAACAATAGATATATAAAGTTATCTATATGTTAACTAAAAAATAGTATTAAACACAATACCCTTGGGTAATGTTGATTGGGCAATACATATGACTACATAATAATATTTACATACATATGGTTATTCTTAAGGCACTAAATACAAATAGTATTAGGTACTACAGAACTCAGACAATCAAAAGTATTTGTAGACATGAGAAACATGATACCTACTTTATAAAATAGCACTGTGATTAATTTTAAATCTTTCAAGATGATGTAAATATCAAAAACTAACATTACTACAAGAATTCGAAATTACAATCACATACTTACAGTTAGTAACAGTGATTAGCAAAAACATTAAGGTACAACACCGTGTATAAGGCACATTGATTCTTTTGAGATTCATCATTATTTATCAAAAAGTAAAAAAAAAAAACAACACTGGAATGATCAAAATTGGACGGAATTACGGTATTCACTGTCCTATACAACGCAACTGAATAATAAAAAATATAGCTGGTCTCTTTAACAATAGAATTAAGAATATAAAATATAAAAAAAGGTTTAAGTAGTTTTCCTACCAGATCAGATCAAAACAACAGATCATCTCTTCACATGAAAATGAGGTCAAGACAACAGACAACCTATTTGTAATCTACATCAGTCTATGTACTTATTAATTACAGTATTAATGTAAATAAAGCTACTACAAATATTACAGCGGAGTTAACTATCATCGTTTGTGCAGAATTATTACCCCAAAAAGAGAAACTAAACACTTTGATAAAGTTTTCTTTTGTAGACCAAGGATCGCTGCCATCGTCGAAATGCATGGGACACTGGTCGCGCTCTCGCTCATACTCTTCCATCTCAATGGCGACAGCTGCGCCTTCGGTGTAGTTCCATGACGTCACATCTTGCTTCAAGTCACAATACGGGCCTAAAGCTTGAGACATAAGTACTCTAAAAAAAATAAAAAAAAAATAATAACAGATAAAAACAAAAGCGTTTTGTACTTAACTTTTCCATATTTGCATAATATAAATTACCTGTTTAGATCAGCCCGCTGATAAACCCAACATCTGTACTTTGAAAATGGGTCCAGCTCATCATAGGTAATTAAATAAGATTTCAAATTCTCCTTCCAAAATCCTATGCATTTCATCCTGTAGTCAGGATCACTGTAGATATCGACAGGTCTACCCAAGTAGTCTACTGACAAACAATAGTTCTCCTTAATCTGTATAGTTTTCTGATCAATATCACAAACTGAAAAATCACTGATATTCAGCTTGCAGTACAAGTTTGGTCTCGGACTTAAAGTAACACCTCCCAAAATCCTTGTTTCAAATCTTACGTCGCCTCTTTGTGTGAAATTGAATTTGCCTGCGACTGGGCATCGAATTGGCGATGGATCTTTTTTGAGGAATATATCGTAACGCCATTCTTGCTTATTGGGGAACTGAACCCATGAGCATACTGTATGGAAGTTACTTTGGATCATGGCTAAACCTTTTCGGTATCTGGAATATAAAAATGCATTGAAGAAAAATAGACATGATAGAATGTTAAGCCTGCAAGTTTTTTTTTATAAAACGTTGCTCCACATTAGGATTGTCTCCTGTGTCGTGGGTGCGTTTACAAACGTACAAATTCACATACACATCACACTCAGAGCCGGAACAACAATTTGTGGATCACACAAAGAGTTGTTCCGTGCGGGAATCGAACCCGCGACACGTTGCACGACAGCCAGTTGCCCAGCCACCGCGCCAACCGTGCAGTCAGCAGTAATTTATTTTCAAAATTCCTAATAATGGAAGACTTAAAATGATTACCTTATAATATTATGATGTTGTGGTACAAAATCAAAGCACACATAATCCTTTTGGCAACCATCAACTGTGAGTCTAGCCATCATCACTCTACTGTCACGCTGCTCCCTATAAAAAATAAATATTACATTTACAGATATTACTATTATATTTATTCATATAACAAATACTTTGTCTCTTTTCTGAACAAAGATTTACCTGCACACATAAATAGTTCTTCTAAATCTGCCTTCATCAGGGTAGTAAGTTTCTATAATGTGTGTTTCATTGATAAATACATCTGCATCAATATTGGCAGTATTGATCCATTCTCCAGAGAAGTTTTGTGGCAGGCGACAACCTGGTTCTACCACTTCAGCCTGTGGGAAAAATTATAAAAGTAGTATTATTTGAATGGTATGCAGATAGGTATTTTTAATTTTGTTGTGCTTTTTAATTTTGCAGGCATTTTTTATGTCAACCAACTCTATATCTTAGAGCAGTGCTTAGTTCAAAATTATGCTCACCAGTTGAGGTATTGCATTAGCTGCTATTATAAAAAAAATATTACCTTGACAGGTGTAACTCTGTATCTTTCAGGTGACTTTTCAACAGTCTTTAAAGTATTACATTCTGGTGTAATAGAGGCTCCTATATATAGATCATCATCTCTGTTCTTGAGGAAACAGCGGTACCTCTCATCTTTTCGAGATTCCTTTGTGTTCGCAACAGCAAAGAAATGATTTTTGTTCACAAACCAATGACCTGGAATGACAATTGTTTAGAGACATGATTATGAGAATTAAAAATTAAAATCATAAAACAATTCAACAAGTGTATAACACAATTCTGCATGCTGCATGCATGCAAGAATAGATGCAAAAAAATATAAATAATATTTTTATTTTTAAAACTATTCTTTTCTTAACATAGACCTTTCATGTGAAAAAAAAAATCAAATTCATTTATGGAATCAGGGAGTACTACTCTAGGAAAACAAAGATGAAGTTATATTTGCTAATAAAACCTCAATTGTCTACAATAATTCCCACATTTGCATAGTTTAATGCCTTTGATAAAATGTACTACATAAAGTGCTTACCTAAGCAACTGTACTCAACTACACCATCAAAAGTATTGGACATTCCAGCACATTTCCTGTATGTAATATTGAACTTCTGGTTGGTTATCAAGAACTGTGTACCAGCTGTTTGGCAAGATTTAATCTGTGCATCAGGGTGGTTACATTCTCCTGTAAATCGGAATCTGTTCTGATACGCAAACTGCCATACACCTTCAAGTGATGAACGGCAATTGACCTGAAAATATAACACCATATGATATTTACTAACAATTTCTAACTGGAACTATTCTAGTTAGAAACTTGTTACATTAAATATTGGATCCATGCAATTTTCTAAAGAGAATCTTATTACTAACTAAAGACTATCTCTATTCAAATGACATGATTGTAAACTTAGTAAACATTCAATAAATACTAACAGAAATCATGCAACTATTATTTTTACAAACTGTTACTCTTGTAAGGAACTTACAGGAACATAGTTTTCAGAGAATAATGTGATCAATCCTTGCTGATCAGGGTTAAGGCCACGGCAGACTCTATCAACAGTGGGTTGCTCATCAGGCCCCAAATTCACACATGGGGACTCAATCTTCTCCAAAACATTTACTGTCCTCACAATTAGCTTGACACAGTAATAACATTTTGTGTACGAAAATACCATTGTATAGTTCACCCTGTATTCAGCCTTAATATCCACACATACACCCCTGCACAAAATTCGGGAAAAAATTATTAGATAGTCAGGTAAGATCTTTTTAAGTGTGATATATTAGAATTGGATTTCTCAAATAGTCTTTGACCGGTATTTTTTTTAACTATTTTGAATATGAGTCATATTTATACAATAAATAAAATAGTAAACAGTACCTTCCAGTCATTTCACTTGCATTGATATCTGTAATTGTTTGCTTGCCATTTTCAAAGGAAAACCACGTATTCCTCAGCACTAATGGTATCATACAATCAGCGACAACTGTAGCGACTAAAACAATACAATAGTCAATAAATACGTTAAGCATTGGGCGTTACCACTAACGATAAATGAAAATTTAAATGTATGGGAAACTACTTACCACCTAATGATAGCACAGCTATCACTGATATAAATACTAAATTCTGAGCCATTATTGCAAGATAATTTTATTTACGGATACATTTAAAATAATAATTTCTACAAACACTCGCTTCGGGAAACCAAACTTTTTGACAAGCAATCAGACAGAATGAATGAAAAGCAGCGCCGTGCGTAGCTGGGTTGCCAGTGGCTACGTATATCAAAACTTTTCATGATCCTCATCGAAGTTCGAAGATTTATGAAGCTTTTCGTTTCAGAATAAATGGAAAAGTTGTTTAAAAACGAAAGAGATAAGATTTATCAACATACATTTGAGCCACTTATATGTTATGTTTGTATGATAAATTCAGTGAGATCCCCATCTTACTGAATTTATCATGCAAACATAATAATTGTTTGCATACAAAAACTTGGATGCTGGAAGTTAGTATGTTATAATGTTCTTTTAAAATGTGTTATTTATAATGTATTTAATTTATATCAATACCATTTAATTTATTTCATGTTTTGTGTGCTTTCTGATTATTTTGAATTTGCAATATTCAAAATGACAACTGACAACTATGACAACTGTCAAAATTTGACATTCGTAGTGTTTTGGGTTGTGCTTGTCAGCTTGTGCCATTTCCAATACAACAAAATACGATTTCGGTTTCGGACTTTTCGCAGTAATCTACAAATAACCAAGTTAGTATTACAAATAGTAATTTAAATAATTACAAAATGAAGTGATAATTTGATTGTTGTCCTTGTAACATGTTTTCGTATAGTACAAACACGTAAAATATAGCTTAAGTTTATTACAGTTTTCAGACATGGGTCGCCGAAAATCGAAAAGAAAGCCTCCGCCAAAGAGAAAAGCCATCGAGCCATTGGATCAACAATTCAATTGCCCGTTTTGCAATCATGAAAAGTCCTGTGAGGTGAAAATGTGAGTAATCAAGCGAATGACACAATAGCATACCCTCCATCTGTGAACTGTTTGTAACGTGTCGTGTTTTTCAGGGATCGAGCTCGGAACACGGCTCGGATACAGTGCAGAGTTTGTTTAGAAGACTTCCAAACCACCACAAACGTGTTATCCGAGCCAATTGATGTTTATAATGACTGGGTGGATGCCTGTGAGAGCGCCAATTAGTTTTACGCCATTGATTATTTTAAGTTATAAATAATATTAATCTCGCCAATCTTCTTGGTCTACTATAGACATTTTCAAGCTTAATTTTATGACTAGAATCTATATACATATGATTTTGTATGAAAATACATATTAATACTTTGTGGAGTATGACGTGAATTAATTTACTGTAATGTAATATCAACGGTATGGAAATAAATTCTGAAAGAACAAATTTAGTTTGTCAATTACTTTATTTACCAACAATAAAGCTTACAGGATAATGTGACATAGCCACTGAAAGCAATGTTCTCTCGGCAAACATAACTATGAATGCTTACAAACTATGTTTCTTTAAGAAATAACAAGTTGGAAAGATATTCATTTTACAACAGTTTAATACATATTTGAAAATAATGATAAACAATTTTTAAAAACATGCAAACCATTATATTTGAACATATATGAAAGCACAATAATTGTATTCCATCTTAAATGAATGTGCAAGTATACTCTGCCTTTTAACCATAACAAATGTATCAGTAAATAGAAATCTTTGAAGTCAGAGCTCACAGATAACTTCAATAATAAAACACCTATATAATAGATTGCAATAAGTAACAAATTATACATAATTTTTCCAGAACATTCTATTCAGGAGCTATGCCCCAGATATCTTATTTTATAATTCCACATAATTCAATTATATTTTTTGTAAAGAAGAAAATATATAATGACGGTTAGTATAATATTATTTAGAAGCCATAACACTAGTTCTTGACCTAAAAGCTTTATAAGATTTTAACATTTTTTCACACAATTTATCAATAATATAATTGAGATTATGCATAGGTATATACTTTCTAAAAGAACAGTACTACACCGATCCAGTTTTTAATGCATGAGTGGAATGTTTTATCTTACTTCAAAAGACAATAACAATGCATCTAACCAGTAGAATGTAACAATAAATTACTACATATGTATTGCAACAATATTATAGCTATGGTTCGTTAAATATAGAAATACTTTTTTGAATCGATAATGATCGGAACATTTAATTTTGCTATTATCATATTACGCACACACTATACTATAATTTGTATATTTAAATATTTACCACCTACATAACAATTATGTAGAGGTGCATTCTCGACATGTCTGATAAGAATCTCGTTAACAATCCTATTAGGTTGATTATTCTTAGTAGTGTTCGTAATTGACCATAAAATTTGCTACATGTGCAGGTAAGTACTTAATCTTTAATTGTACTAATGCTCCAAGTCAAAGCTTCGAGGGCTACTGAATATAACAACAATATTCCTATATTTCATAATACTACATATTTATTGACATTATCAATATCATTCCCTTACAGCTATCGATATTACACATTGATCAAAATATCCCTATTTAAGTATTAACACAATAGACAGCGTCAAGCTGCATCACATTTCAATAACAAATTGAAAATAAATAAAAACTCTATAAAAATAATATAATACATTGTAGATAATTGAGCTATTGCCTAGACTTACAACCCAGGGATATCTGTAACCATGTCATTGTTCAGCTAAGACTGTATAAATACTAAATTGCACGCGCTATGGAAACATACGTAATATTTACAAAAACACTACAAGAGTAATTAAACTATAACATGTGTATATAGAGACATGACATGGTTACGAGAGCCGCATACCACCGAGCCCCTCTGTGCACAAGCTGTGTTAAGAAGGTATATAAGGTGTCAGAATAGCTCGCACTAAAAGTTCACCACGCTGCTTTGGCGTACTAAAACAGGACTTACTTTAATCAAATCCTTCGATAATACACTTGGAATGTGTTTGTTTCAAACAACTCATAAATAATAACCATTTAAACTAAGACGCAACGTCAAACAGTAGTGTGCATTACACATTCAACATGTTAAAATGCATATAGCCTTATAGAAACATCGATAGATAAGCACAATTAGATAATTTAAAAGTTTTAAACATTTTTGGAATATAGGTAGTATTAAAATTTGCCCATGTCTATGAAAGAATCGTACTGCAGGTCGTAACTGTCGCACACGGTGTTATCGTCTGAGGATAAGTTACTACTGATGCTGGTGAGATGTTGAATTGGATGGTCCATATCGCAAGTCGCTGTGTTGTCCGAGTCGTCAGAACTGTCGCTGTTACTATCAATATATTCGTACAATCTTGACGTCTCGGCTGCGATACTACACACATCAGATATTTCGTACGAGCTCATTAACGTCGGTGTCTTTACAATGGTGATAGCGTCCATAGAGCTCGAAAGCAAAGCGTCTTCAATAGGAATCGTCTCAAAATGAGATGAGGAAGCTTCTTCGGTGTAACGACCCGAATCACCAATTTCGGACACGTTTGGCGACAAGGTTTCATCCATTGGTAATGTGGCATTATCAGTTTGTAAGTGAGAACGTTCATCGACGTCTTGGAAACTTATTAGGGGAACATCAACTTTGGGACCATCTTCGACGATGTCTTTGGTTAATGAAACAGAATTGTCATCTGATAGATCTCCGTCAGCGTTGAGGGTTACAGAGTCGTAGTTTGTATCCTTCTCAATGTTCAGACCTTCTAAATCATCCACGCACTTGGTGGAATCGTCACTGCTGTCAGACACTATCAACTCGATACTCCTATCTAAAATACCGGTGTCTGTACAAGTGGACATTTCATCTTCGAAAACAATCTCTACACTCCTAATTCTCATTAGAGGCATTTTAGAAGGTGATATTTCGTTGCCTCTAGCTGTCATACCTTTCTTATGATGACTAGTATCGAGTAACGACTCGGTGCACTCGCTGATTTCGTCGTAATCGATTTCATAGCTTCTAAGATCGGAAACGCAGGGTGAGCTTTCCGTTACTTTGATATTAGGTGTTTTAGATGTACAGATATGTGCGTTAGTGTGGTCGGGTGAGGGCGATAGTGTGGTATGCGCGTGTTGTCCCTAAGGTTGCAATGATTCTTATTGTACAGTGGTGCCTAGGTCTAGTCCGCCCTCCTCCTGCATCTTCGTGAGGAACTTGAACACTCTGTACTCCTCATCTGTTTGCTTCACCATGTCGATTAGCGCTAGCAGCTTCTTAATGCCAATGAAGATTCTGCGAAAGAAAAAACAATTATGTCAACTGTTTTACAAATATTTATATTCTTAAAATTGTCTTTGATTTAGTTTAATTTTCTGTTGAAGAATTGAGGATAGTTTTATAAGAAAACAATATTTTTTACCTTTCAAAACGATAGGATCTATACATTCTCTTTTGAGCATAATTCAATAACTTATACAGGTACCTACTTTGAAAAAGAAATCTACATACCTCACTGTACCTACATGTTAAATATCGACAATTTCTTTTTAAATTTGCGCAATCGAAAAAACACAAAACGAAGAAATAAGTTTGATTTTGAAAAATAGCAAAATTAGCATTACAATGTGAACTATGTATATACCCAATAAAACTTCAAGACTAAAAATATGATGCAAAAAGGATGTTACAAAGGAGATCCAACCTTGGGTTAGCTGTAGACAAGGCAATTTGTTCAGGGGTAGGCTGAGGAGCATTGCTCAGGAACCTCCGCAGTTGCTTTAAACGGGAGGGTCTAATGAACAGGACAAAACAAGCTTCATGTCCAACATTCATAGACTCTATTTCTTTGGAATAAGGTATAATATACTACAATACTAACTACACCAACTTATGACCTTGTTCTGGAAAAAAGATGTTAGGGACCACATACCAATATTTTTACGCATAATTTATTTTCATTAACCGTTAGTTTGGGTGTAGTTTTTTGCTTGATTGCGCCAGATGGTTTATTAAAATTTATATCTCTTTGGCGATCCGCAGACCATTCATTTCTGGTCCACATAGAAAAATCAAGCCATGGTTGGACATTAAATACTTATAGTAGGATAGCAACTTACCTAGCTCCACGGATATCCTGTTGGATCTTGAGCAGGTCTTTCTTTGAGAAAGCATCACTCTCTTCAAGTACTGACATCACATGTTCCGGTTGGGATAGGTTGGGAACGTGCAACACGCCAGTGAACGCTGATAGCATCTCCATGTCTTCCAATACTTGTCTGCAGACAAACAGAAAAATAATGATTAAGTTAAAAAAAATCTACACACAAAAGTTACTCATTAAAAAGATGAAGTCAAATCCCCAGAGCGATATGTATATCACCATAAACATAAAATACAACATAATGATTTCAAGAATTTCTACCTATTTTGGCAAAATTAATATCTTTTTATAGCTTTATTTAAAAACTACACTTAAATTCATATGAAAAAATATTATTATTATTACCTTCGGCTGCTAGTGCAAAGGATGAGCAATTTTCGTCCCTTGGGCGGTTGTTTCTTCAATAATACGAGCAACGCTTGGAGCGTCAAGTTGGAATAGCGAGGTCCAATAGGACCGTAGTCCAGTAAGCGTTCAATGTTGTCCACTAGGATACAGGACAGACTTGAACGGTAGGCGTCGTCGAAATACTACAAATAAAAACATAGATGCACACATTAGCTAAGTCATCATAATATTTTTTTATTGGGTGGCAAACGAGCAGAGGAATCAGTTGATGCTAAGCAACTGAAGCCGACCTACGGCCCCCTCAAAACCACAGGAATTGAAAGTGCGTTGCTGACCATTTGGGTTTCAGATTTGAGGATTGGTATTGAGGGGGCAGGATTGGGCGACCGATACCTTCAGTCACATGGCGATACACAACGTAAGCATTTCCTGATTCCTTAATTTAATTATTCAAGGTTTGTCCGTTTGTACAAATAACAATTGGGCTCAAGTTGATCCAAGACGCATATTATATGACTTCATTATAAGTAGGTACTTAAGATACCAATTACACAAAATACTTGATAATCATACTGTCAGTTTAAGTGGCATGTGTTTTTTATGTTATTTAGGTACTTATTTTTTAGGATAAAACTCAAAACGTTAGGTAACCAATTATATTAGCCTTTACCATACCTTTCTGATCTGCAGACACTTAGAAGACTCTGTGAAGCCGACCATGTCCTCTGGCGAACAGACCTTCACGAAGGGGAAGTCTGACAACTTGGCAAGCTCAGCGGCTAAAGCAGTCTTACCACTGTTTGGTGGGCCTTCCAACAGCACTGACACTAGACCTATGTAACAACTTGTATATTAATATTTAGAACTAAATGTTTAAATGTTTGGCTACTAGTAATTTAGCCCATTACAGTCATGCAGAAATCTCATAAATCGATCTTATCAAGAATATGGTATCAACGTTACTGGAAGAAACAAATGTAGAAAAAATCCACGTAATAAATTATTCATAGTTGACCAAAGCTTGTTAGGGTTCGAAGTCGACCCGAAAACAATAAACAGTTTTACAAGTTAAATTGAATGACTGGCATAGATGCATACAGAACTTGACACATCACTACCATCAACTTATAAACACAAATTATCAGATCTACTTTTCAAATATAAAACACAGGAATCTTACCGCTGGCTTCAGTAGCACGCGCCTGTTGAATGTAAAGCTGTCCATCTTCGAGCAATGAAGATACTGGTGAGCCCCAGTTGATAATGCCACGGCTCAAGAAATGCTCCAATGCCTCAGCCGCGGTACCGAAAGCCGGTTTGATATCATTCTCAAGTGCATGTAAGAAGTCACCACGTTCTACCATGAGTTTTTCCATAGCTTCTGGGTCGACCTCCACTTTGCTTGACGCTTTGATCAAACGGTTCATCGCAGTGGACTGAGCAGCTCGCACTAAACCTTCTAATTCAGCGCCCGAGAAATTCTTTGTTAGAGCTGCGAGTTCCTGTTGGTGGAATATTGCAATGTACTCAAAGATAAACCGATTTGCAGTCGAGTAGAGGTTTTGCTTTGCCCTTTTTTCACTTAGTAATTAAAGTCACCAATATTACTAAAATTATAAAGCTGTTGAGTTTTTTGTTTTTGAACGCTCTTCGAAATTTCTGTTTCGAATTGAACAATTATTTTTGTATTGATCAGTCCTTAATTATCACGGAAGGCTATCGGCTATAAAACATCACGCTACGATCTGCAGTGTGTAGGAGTAGTGTCATATTATATCTTGGGCGTAAAATATTACCAAATAAATGTAATTTACTTCCTCGAAAGCAGTATCTTCCAACACAAGTCATATTATTGGATTACAATCAATTATGTTATACAAACCTTGCAATCGACATCTTCAGCGATCTTCTTGTATTCCTTCATACGTTTTGTATGAATATTCAGGATCTGTACGCGGCCTTTCTCGTCAGGTAGACCGATCTCCATCTGAACCTCAAGACGACCGGGTCGCATCAACGCCTCGTCAATCATATCGCGACGATTCGTCATACCGATTACCAAGATGTTGTTTAGTTGGTCGACACCTAAAGGAAGATTTTATATCATTTAATATGGTGACCAAGAGATTTGACAACGTTTGGTAGGCCAACAGATAGCCGGTCTCAATACAATATGTTTGGATATTTATATGAAATATGGAGTATTTTTAAATACTGGATAACTATCGTGAGACATACACAATTTATTGAAATAATGATTAATTCATGTGAATCAAGTAAGAAAAGCTCTACTAGCTAACCAGACTGGTCTGGTAGTATAAATTGCTGGATATACCTACCTACTGCTTCTTTTTTGTGAGGGGTGAAATCATCAAATGACTTCTCCCGTTGTGGTCGGAACTAGAGGGAGTGTCAGACTCTTACGAACTAAAAACCACCCCATTCATTCTCCTGTTTCAGGCTGGGGTGGGGTCGCAGTTGGTACTTTTGCATCCGCAACCCCGGGAAAGGTGCTTAGTTAACGCTCTATTTATGTATTACTAAAGAGTTTTATGTCTAGTAGAAGGAAACGGGGTAATGACAACTCACCATCAATCTTGGAGAGCAGCTGATTTACGACGGTATCATGTACACCGGTGTTGCCTCCAACAGATCCTCTCGCTTTGCAAATAGCGTCGATTTCGTCAAAGATGATAATATGGAGACCACTATTCGGTCCGCACTGCAAGTAATATAGGTAATCATTATCTATCATTCAAGTGAGATAAGTTTTAATAAAATATTTTAAACTTTATGAGAAGATAAATTTTAATTTGAAAAGGAAGTAAATAAAAGTGCACATAAAAAAAGATCGATAGTTTTTTCGAAGGACTATAATACCTACATGAAAGAAAAATCGAGTTTGTTATAGATTTACGCTAAAGAACAGATTAGATAGAAAACACAATGTGGTGATATTACCTTATTTTTTTTTTTGGTTGGAGGTTGGAACTTGAACAAAATATTTGTGCCAATATTCGGCATAAACTTACCCTTTTCTCTTCTTCTTCGGCATCAGCGAACAGTCTACGAATGTTGGCTTCACTCTCACCAACATATTTGTCCAAGATTTGCGGGCCATTCACAATCTTGGGTTCACGTGCATTCAACATTTTACCAATTTGACGAGCCATGAGAGTTTTACCAGTACCGGGTGGGCCGTACAACAGGATACCCTTGACGTGTTTGCAACCTAAAATATTAAGATAAATCAGCATATTTATAAGACAAGACACATGTATTCGGACCCGAGACCGCTTATTCGGTCAGAAGCCATGTCAGAACCGGCATAATTTAGCTGATTCATGTACCTAATAGAAATTGAACTTTAAACTGTAGTTATAAAGACTCTCTTACCCAACTGCTCCACCACTTCTGGGGGGAATACTCGAGAAGCGAAAGCTCGTCGGAAGATAGCATTGAACTCTCTGTCCAGACCACCGATGCCCATCTTTCCGAAGTCCCAATCAGGGTTGATGATGGACTGGCGTGGCTGTTTCCTGTGTATCAATTATTATTATTACTAAAACTTATCTTTGCGAAAATCTCCTGCAGTTTCCTTAACACGACGAATTTACAATATAATCAGTTCAGATAACCTTTTGCATAAAACCTACTTTATCGATTCCATAAATATTTTTGTAAAATTATCTGTGTTAAATAAGTGTTTTATTTACCCTTTAGCCTTTCCGACTAAGTTGAGGGAAGAATTTTCAGCTTTGTCGAATTGAATAGCGCCATCAGGCAGGAGTCGGCCCATTCTTACACGACGGGGAACAGCGTTAGCCCCAGCGGCCAAAGCTTGGACGTCAACAGCTAAAAACATATTATATTGATCGTGTAAATAAATCTTGGTAGATATTCCCCACACACACGCACACAAACAATCGAGAACCATCTAAACCAAAAGTAAAGGTATTTAAAAAAGACAAATTATTATACATATAACATAATGTGATAATTATTAAAACAGTAAGTAGGCAAATATTTTTAACCAGTACAAACACAGAACATGAACATTAATAAAATAATATGTATACTTATTTTTATTTATTTGTAAGTAAAATAACGGAAAAGCTTACCTTCCAAATTCTTCACGATGAGGGACAGAACCTTCTTTTCTTGGAATGAGAACGCCAACTGCTGGCCGACTGTAAAGATCTGATTGGAGAACTGGATCAAGAAGTCGCGAGCCATTTGCTCCGAATCGTAAGGTTCCATGGATGTTCTAAAAATATTGACATAGGTTTGGTAGGACATATTCAAAAACATCACTGTTGGACAATGGGCTTCTACAAAAGAGGGGTTTCCGGGCGTGGCAAGAGGCAGAGAGGAGGAGATAACATTAATTTATTTTTTAAATTTACTGATAATAACGTCTTACTCATGTTAATAAACGAAGCAAACCTCTACTAGTTTCAAATTACAACGGGACTCTAATTCATAAGCAGTGTGCGCGCCGCAAGGATCGATCGATGTCAGCTGCGTGACGTATGAGTGGGATAAATTAAAGTCCCATTGTAACTTGATAATAAGAGCTTTACTCAGTAAATTCGCGTGAGTAAGGACTCATTTTTCAATAGTCAGATAAATGTTATCTAAGCAATTAAATTATTGCTGTCACTGTCTTATATTATTTAATAATAATTATTAACCAGGTAACTTTTATCTAACCATTGAAAAATCAGCCCTAAGTCGTTGTACAGTCAGCTCCAAAAGTCGATGAACAGAATCAACTTTCCAAAACACCTGTTCACAATAAAATGCCATAAGTTATAGTCACAACTAGGAAACAAAATAGCCTGTACATCAGAAATTTACAAAAGTCGGTAAACACGACTAATTCAAAAGTATCTGTGCACTATAGTATTCCTAAAGTCGCTGTACACCATCAATCCAAATGTCGCTGAACATCATTGTATCAAAAATCAGTAAACAGCAGAAAAGTCAAAATTAGGTTAACAAAGTATATTTTTAATGTTGCACTGTGTTAATATAATTTTGACGCTTATGTTGTACAGCTACTTTTGGGACAGTATAACTTAATAATGTATATTAACACGTTAGTATCTTTTAATACTTATTTAAAAACTAATAATATTTATAACCGACTTCAAAAAAGGAGTAAGTGCTCAATTCGATGCGTATTTTTTTATGTATGTACACCGATTAGGTACTCGAAGACGACTGGACCGATTTGCAAAATTCTTTTTTTATTTGATTGGGTTTACCTGCCATTTGGTCCCATTGTCATGAGGTCAGAATCTGATAGAGAAATCGAGGGCAACTTTCAATAATTGCAGGGGCGAGTAGTTCTTTTGTATGATGTTTAAGTAGGTCTTTTACAATAACTTGACGAAGGTCGAAGTCGACCTGATGTTGGAGCTGGAAGACAGTCGAGGGATCTCCTTGACTATTTGGAGTAGTTGCCTTGTGTTTGAGCTTGAATGATTCGTATTGGCACTTTGCACCAGGCTTGGTCGTAACTGTCATTAAGGGTCTGATGATGAGAACGAAAGACAGGGAACTCCTGAACGGATTATAGTAACTACTTCGTGTTTGAACTTAATTCATATTGTCAGTAATCATACTAATATATAATATGAAATAACATAAACATCACTCTAACAATTTACGAAGTAGACAACTTTGTACACAGAAAATTTATTTTTTATGTTTGTGTTTACTTTTTGAAGTCGTTTGTTTATTTTCATTTAGGTAAATAGAAAATAATAATAATAACTATTTTTATAATCTCGCAGTAGGTGCCAAGTAAATGCTACATACCAAACAACAACAGTATTAGAAACGTGTATTGATCGCTACCTAGTAATCATCATTGTTTTACTTGGTACCTGGCACTTAATTGACACCGACTTCGAGATTATAAAAATAGTTATTAATATTATTTTCTATTTACCTAAATGAAAACATGTATTACTTTGTACACAGAAAATTTTTTAGTTAAAAATTATTTTATTTCACCATTTCAAGTGATATGCAGAGCAAGCAAAGATAATGTGTTTCGAATGAGAAGACGACGGCTACTTGAGACCGAAAATCACGGTAATAGTAGTAGTCCTTAGTGTTCAGTTCTGTAAATTGTTGAGGAATGCCCTCGACTGTCAATGGTCTCCATCATTATGTGTACTGCAGACCTTCAACATAGTTACATAATCTATATAGGTGCAAAGTGCTCACCAATACGAATCATTCCAGCCCAAACACAAAATAATTACTCCAAATAGTCAAAGAGATCCCTCTACGGTCTTCCGGCTCCATCATCAGATTTACTGCATAACTTCATTGTAACTCATGTAGGTGCGAAGTTTTTATTGATATAAATGAATTAATTCCAAACACGAGGTAGTTACTGGAAACCGTTCAGGCGTTCCCTGAGCTGTCCTTCGTTGTCATCATCAGACCCCTAGTGACAGTCACTACCAGTCTTGGTGCAAAGTGCTCACCAAGAAGAATTATTCAAGCCCAAACACAAGGGAATTACTCCAAATAGTCAAGGAAATCCCTCGACTGTCTTTCGGTTTCATCATCATCAGGTCGAGTTCAACCATGGACAAGTTGACGTAAATACCTGAATAACTTCAGAAAATATACGAATCATGCCAACTGTCGCTATAAAATTTTAAATTTCCACTCGATTTTTCTGGGTTTTCATCATCAGATCTTGACCTGGTGAACATGTGACAAACTGGAAATTATACCCTACTGAACAAAAAAAAATCCAAATCGGTCCAGGAGCCTTAAGTAATCGGTTAACATAAAAAAAAATCCCGACGAATTGAGAACCTCCACCTTTTTTTAAAGTCGGTTAAAAATATTATTAATTTTTAAATAAGTATTAAAAGATACTAACGTGTTAATATAGGTACATTATTAAGTTATACTGTCCCAAAAGTAGCTGAACAACATAAGTGTCAAAATTATATTAACACAGTGCAACATTAAAAATATACTTTGTTAACCTAATTTTGACTTTTCTGCTGTTTACTGATTTTTGATACAATGATGTTCAGCGACATTTGGATTGATGGTGTACAGCGACTTTAGGAATACTATAGTGCACATATACTTTTGAATTAGTCGTGTTTACCGACTTTTGTAAATTTCTGATGTACAGGCTATTTTGTTTCCTAGTTGTGACTATAACTTATGGCATTTTATTGTGAACAGGTGTTTTGGAAAGTTGATTCTGTTCATCGACTTTTGGAGCTGACTGTACGTATGTCTCACGATAGTTACCTACTATTCAAAAATAATATTTATTGTTTGCAAAATGCGCAACACAACACCGGGCCGTTCAGTCAAAGTATACAATTGGTAGGTAGTTGTCTAGGTCAAAAATAAATTAATTCGACGTTTCAATACAATAAAATATTGAAAAATTACTATAGTTTTATTCATCGATTGATCGATACACTAAGTTTTAGATATCATGTAGCTAATTATTAAGAAATAAGTAAGCTATTTGACGCAAAAATTCTATGACGTCGTAACTCAGTTTTTCATTGTGTCGTCACTGTGAGGACCACCTAGAGGATACGGTGGAGCATACGGTAGCGGTATGCCCTGCCTGGGCTGAGCACCGCCGAGGGCGGCGACCTCTCGCGCCCGGCCTTAGTCGAGGCCATGGTGCGGAGTGAGAGAAACTGGGACGCCGTCTCCTCCTTTTGTGAAGCAGTCATGCTCGCAAAGAGAGAGGCGGCCCGCGTGAGCGAGCAATCCTCCTCCTCACGCCCCAGCAGCCGCAACTGGCGACACTACGGGCGTCGGGGATCGAGGGACGATCTCCGGCCACCGTAAGGAAGGGGCTGCGGTCGGCGAGTAAGGGCAGTCCGACCAGAACCAGGCCCGAGCGTACGGCGCGTAGGGTTCCGCGCGCGCCTCAAAGAGCCATTCGACCACCACAGACGGGGCCCTAAAGGGCTGATGTTCAGCCCGGGCTGCGGGGTAAGCGCAATGAGGTACCGCGACCTCGGCACAGAGCAGGAGAACACTCCCTCCTGCCCGGCCCTGGGCGGGAGAAGTCATTTGATGATTTTCCTCTCACAAAAACAAAAAACAAAAAAAAACTCAGTTTTTCATTGACATTTGGATAAAAGTATTAATTTGACTATTTGGAAACTATCGTATTTACTGAATTATCTAAGTATATTATTAGAGACCACAGACTGTGATCGAAAACACAGTTGCAACTCCTTAGTAGTCTTTTGACTATCCATGGACGACGACGATTGCTTACCATAGTGTAATAAAAAATCTGACAAAACACCAAACAGGTTCATTCAATTCGCTGTGTGAACACTGTGTTATTCCATTAATGTTTAAACAATGTCCTTTTTGTTTTTACTACTACGACATTTTAAGTACAATTTCCTAAGCGAAACGTAATGGGTCAAATTACCGAAATAGCGTGGGTACCTAGAACAAATTAAGAGGGTGTTGGGTCGTTAATCTTTTATTATTAGGAGAAGCTTGTGCGGGTAAAGTCCAGATTGCTATATAAAATTTATAGGTCCCAATTTGCTCAGGTGTTTATTTCTTTCTGCTTTTATTAAATCATCCCCATTTTTTAAACTAAAATATGTTCAACTATAGGCACCTAAGCCACCAGGCTTTTTTTGATAGGACCACTCGCTACGGCTATTTATCTAGGTACTACCTACTTGTGGTGGCCCCTTTTTTTTGTGAGGGGAAAATCATCAAATGACTTCTCCTGCCCAGGGTCGGGCGGGAGGGAGTGTCAGACTCTTACTGACTAAAAACCCCCCTATTCCTTCTCCTGCTCTGGGCCGAGGTCGCGGTGCCTCATTGCGCTTACCCCGCAACCCCGGCTGAACATCAGCCCTATGGGGCCCCGTCTGTGGTGGTCTATTGGCTCTTTGAGGCGCGCGCGGAACACTATGCGCCGTACGCTCGGGTCTGGTTCTGGTTGGGCGGCGAGCTACCCTTACTCGCCGTCCGCAGACCCGCGCTTACGGTGGCCGGAGATCATTTCTCGATCACTTGTGGTGGCCCCTGAGGTCAGGCCCCAGCCAGGGCAAATACACCTGTTTGTACCTCTTTCGAACCTCGGCTCAGTAGGGTCATTGTCATGGAGTAGTAAATGAAATCAAGCTGGACCGAATTATGGGACCAGAGACAGTTTACTTTTAAGTTAATTGCGATTTATTGAGTTGTTTTTGTTTCATACAACAAATCGCAGTTTGTAATACTAGAACTCTTATAGATAAACCTACTATGGCACTTATACACAGAAACATATTAGACAAATAGGTATGTATGTATACCACTACCACCAGCTTCACTCAGATGACTCACATAATGGGATTAGATTTATATGTTGTATGTGTACTTACGTTTTTTTCAGCATGAAGTCTGCCTCTAAGGTCATACTGCACAAACAATCTGCGTTTTGAGCCTTGAAAGGCTTTACATCAATTGGCTGCAAAAAAAAAACACAAGTGAGTTGCAAAAAGGTTTAAGTTAGTACAAGACATTTTTTAAAACTGTAAAAGTTGAATTTTCATTAGCAAAGAGAAATAAGGTAGGTAAAATATTTGAAAATAAAATATTATGTATTTAATTGTATATGTAAAGAATGCATGAATAATAGAAATTGATTATCCAAAGACTTCTTTATGAAACTCACCTGACCAATAGAGAGAGTGGCCCATTTTCTCTGTGGAGCTGAGAATCCAACAGTGCCACGGTCAACACCGCTGTAGAACCTGATGCTGAACACAAAGTGCTGTGAAGGTCCAGTTGACACTTCAATGTGCCTGAAAATAAAATACAAAAAAAAATTAGAAGAAACAACTGATTTGTTTATCGAGACATTTCTCTACATTGTTATTTACTCCTGTATTATCTGTACATTCACAAACAAATTTATGAATTTCCTAATACTAACAGACTATCTCCCAGCCTTAAATTATTAATTGTATTTAGTCAACCAGATTGTATGAAACTTCAAACAATGAGCCAACTGATGATTATAATCTTCGTTTCATTACTTTTAGAAAGTGTAATGATTACCCTAGATTTCACAAATTGTTTGTTGCTTATGTATGACCATGTGGTACATGGATTAAATTTTTTATTATAAGGGATAGCCCCTTGTACACTTTTGGCTGTCCCTGCAGATTAAAAGGTTTAAAGTTTTTTAGTTGGTTTTGACATTCAGATTTTTAGAACATCAAAACAGTTGTCTGTTGTATGAATGAATTGTGATTCATGCACAGACCTGCTACATACATTTCATCATCATTAAATTAAGTTTTAAATAAAATTATAACAATGATGTCATTAAATTAATTACCTTTTGAAATAGGTGACACCTTCCACTCATTGAAATGAAATTTTCAAATAAGAAAGCTTTCTTTAACATTTTAAACATTTTAATATAAAGATGACAATAAAAGGCCAGGAATGGAGTACTAATTAGCAGATTTTTTCTTTGCCAACTTACCATGAATTAAATGGAATCTTAAAAAGTATGATAAGTTAGGACTATGTGGTGCTGTGTGGATTTGGTCTACCTTATGGAACAAAAGCCAAAGTTTATGAATGTATAATGAAATTGGACAATGACTGCAAACCTTCAGGAGCACACAATAAATGCTACTTACTTGACATCACTATTGAAGTCATCTGGGTTGATAAGAGCACAGTTTGTAATGGCAAGCTCGTCCGAGGGACATTTTGCTGCCTTCATCCGCTGCAAAGAATAAAATATATTGTTCAAAAAATTGCTAACAGAAAACTGTTTTCCTGACATGATAAGCTTGTTAGTTCCCGATTTGTGATAAGGGATAATATGATTTTTCTACTCCATAATTAATAACTTTGAGGATAAAATTTTAATTAATTAGTAATTTAGACATTGGGCTGATGTACACAATAACAATTCTATGTAAAGAGCACTAATATTGATATTGTAATTTCAATATATTATTGTAAATGACATGGTTTTATCACACTTTCATAATGATGAAATGATGACAGATTCACAGTTTGGACCAATTAGCAAAAATCGACCTTATGCAGGTGTTTTATATGGGTGTAAACTATAATTTAAATTACTCAGTTACTGAAAATAATAAGAAAGAAAGATATCATCCCAACGAAACTTTCATGATCGTTTGTAGATATGGTAATTCTAACATTTGCAAAGGAAATGTAACTTACCATTCCAGACATATTTACTACAATTCCTTTATTTTTTTAAGGTGCTATTTTGAGTTTATACTTCGATTTTGACAAATGATTCACGTCGACTGATTTGACATCAGCCTACGTTGAGCCGTCACCACTAAACAACGAATGACTGCATTGAATTTATTTTGCCTGAGAATCCATTGGTTGAGCGATCAATACTAGGCAAAACCTACGTTGCAGTGTTGCCATTGATGGTTGAGTTAAAAAAGTTGTCTTCTTTTTACATCGAAAAAATATGTTTAGCTATCTAAAATATTTTAATTCTTTGTCTCCGTTGAATATTTATACTCCAAACTTTATTATAATTTTCTTACTCTTTCTTTCACTCACAGACCAAGGTTTCAAGAAAATAATTTGGTCATAGTCTCTCACTCGTTCAGGCATTCTATTCATCTGAGTTTGAAGCTTTTATGTACGTCGTTCGTTTCGTACATTTCATTCGTACGTAAATTACAAATGGCTGAAAAAATTTTGTCGTTGACTAAGAAATAAATTTTATTTTCGTGAGGTGTAAGTCAGTGAAAATTACAAATTAAGAGATTGTACATTTGAAGAGAAGAAAAGTAATATATAAATGTTGAAATGAACGTGCATCCAAAAAAAACTTAGTGAAGTATTGTGGAAAGAGTTTCTACTAACATAACCTTATTACCAATAAAATGGAGCTTCCGCAGCCGCCACAAGGTTTGTCTTAATTTAATAAAACAATTATAATACCTTTTTTCATATATGAAATCACAATATTATATTTTAAATTACATTTTTAGATCAAGACCTTCGGAACATAATCGACAAACTGGCCCAGTTTGTTGCAAGAAATGGACCAGAATTCGAAAAAATGACGAAGAACAAGCAAAAAAACAATCCGAAATTCAGCTTCCTGTATGGTGGAGACTACTTCAACTACTACCAGTACAAAGTGACCACGGAGCAAGCAAGTAAGCATAATGAACTGACAATGGAAGAGTTTTGAATGTTTCATTTAATAGCTGATAGAGTGTTGTTATAACCGATTAAGTGAACCTCCGCTGTTTATAGTTCTAAAGCAATCGGCCGGTGGCCAGCCGGCTCCAGCTCCCGCCGGGGCTTATATGGCACAGAACAGGCAATATGTAATGCCCCAACAGGCCGGAGCGACTCCCGCTCAGCTGGGCCTAGCGGCATCGATGGCAGTGGCACCCGCGTTGCAGCAGTGGCTCGCGGCCAACTCTGCGCCGCCTGGAACATCGCAGCACTCCCATCATGACCTCGACAACATCTCTGCACAGATCAACATGCTCAAAGAGCAAATTACTCAATCTGAGAATAATCTTAATGCGCAGCATACGGTGAGTCTTATTAAATGGAAAATATTGCTTATCAATAATATTAAAATGTCATTGATTTTTTGTAATTAATATTATTTTACTCAAATTAACTAAACAACAATTTTGCCATAAGATGCATGATGTTTTTTATTTAACTCATTGGACATGTTAGTTTTTTCTTTATAAATGAATTATATTTATTTACAGGCTGTTTCATACTTTAGGATGATTCTACAATTATGTACATACTTATTTTTCATTACTTTTTCTTTATCTTATAAAATTCCATGTATTTTTTGTCTATGAAACTTTTGGCTATGAAATATTTTTTATTTATGAAAAATGTTTATAATATAGAACAGCAAAAAATGAAGTCTTATATATTTTAGGTGTTGATTCAGCAACAGCAAGCTAAAATCAACGAGTTGGTTAGCAAAGCACAAGTGGAAACAATACAGATGATGGCAGAAGACAACAATATCAGCCTTAGTGAACTGGACACCATTCTGCAGCCAATAATTGACACATGCACCAAAGACAGTATATCATCTGGTTAGTGTTCATGTTGATTTATTAGTTTTGAATACAAAACTAATTGGAAAAGTGAGTGAACAAACAAAGTAGTCACAACTTTTGTTAAAGTTTTTAATAATCATGTTGTTATTTTGTAGGTAAGGGATGGATACTACAGCATGCAACTTCACATGATGCAGGCAAAGTTATATCGCAGCACCTTCTAAGAAAAGTGACCCAGCCAGGTGCAGCATTCACGCAGAAACTCCACATCATTTACCTGGTCAATGATGTTTTACACCATTGGTTAGTACCAACTAATGCATAATAAATTTCATTTGTTCATGCTCAGGATTCTAATGCTGATGCTGATTATGTAACTTCAGTTTCTTGCTTTGAATCTAATTACTTTGTGGTTCTAATTAGTTTTTTGACAAGTAGTACAAATGCTATACATATGCCATATTACCTAAATATAACTTTTTGTTCCAATTACTTTTGTGATCTGTGTTTCAAATCATTATGTCTATTTGTGAAACAATATCATAAAACTCAGGTATTTATTATATTACTTTATTTTCCCTAACACTAGTATAATTTGACAGTGTCATACTATGTTATTATATTATGTATATGTCCCTTGTATCCATTGTTTACCTCCCTTTACTTCGTGTCATTATCAAATCGGTGTCTATGATGCTATTATTCCTAATTACAGTGCACGCAAAAACGCAGAAGATCTCAAGAAAAATTTGGAAAATGTGGTGGTTCCAATGTTTTGCAATGCCAGTATAGGTAACATATTTATAATAATGCCCTCAAGATGTAGGTCTCTTGTTCGATTGTGCATTCTCATCTTCAAGTTAAAGCATTTTTAGTACATCATCACCTGTGGTTTGTGCCAGTCAGGTAACTTGCTTAGTGTTCACCTGGCCCATACGACAACTGTTTAATCATTTTGCTGTTTCAGCTGTCACTGAAGAGCAGGAGGCCAAACTTAACAAGTTGCTGCGCCTTTGGGAATCAAAGTCCAACTATTTCGAGACAGCTGTCATTGAAAAAATGAAGAGTCCCACCAGTTCCTATCAGGAGTACCAGAACAATTTGATCTCACAGCACTCAAATGCTATTGCACATTTAACACAACAAACTAAATCTACTTTCGAAAAGTAAGTTTGTAGATGATGTAAGATCATAATTGAACATGACATTTACTAATATTTCATGTCTGTAATTTTACAGCTACCAAACTCAACACCAAGCTTTTGTCGCGCATACTATGCAGCAGATTCAACAATTAGAGATGCAGAAGCATGCTATTGAATTGCAGAACAGCCATGATCAGAACAAAGACAATGTTCAACAAAACAATATGCAAAATAGTTTTCAAAATAATAGTTTCAATGACCAAAGCTTTCCCCCAATGGGTGGTTATGAACCTAACTTTAATGCTAATAACCAATACGGAAGTGAAAGTGGCGATAACTATGCATCTAACAATAGCCTTAGTGGAAATGAAAACAGTTATGATAGTCAAACTTTTGACCAAATCACTAACCAGAAGAAGAAAAATGAAGTAACTGAAGAACCAGATTTGTCAATTCTACCAAATATAAATTTCTCCCAACCTCCTCCTGGGTTCATACCTAATGAAAACCCAGCACTATTAGCATTCCAAAATGGTCTTCCAGATCTGAGTAAGCCCCCACCTGGCTTCCCACCATTCCCTGAAGTAAACAATGAAGAATTAATGCCTTCTGTACCTTACTTTGAATTGCCAGCTGGTTTGATGGTCCCACTCATTATGGTATGTGACTTTTTATATTTGAGCAGTGAATAATAAACAAATGGAGTGCAAGTATAACTGACCTAGTATATTAACTTGTCAAGTAAATAAGAAGTATGGCACTCCTTTGGTTACCTTATATATTTTTATATTTAATAACATAAATAATATTTTAGCTGGAAGATGACCGGTATCGACCCTTGGATCCGGCGAAAATTCGGCTTCCACCTCCTGCCCCACCTAATGAAAGACTTTTGGCTGCAGTTGATGCTTTCTATGCATCACCTAACCACGAAAGGCCAAGAGACAAGTCAGTACATTATTACACTTTTGTATTATTATTCAAAAAATTTTTTTTATAATTATTATGTTTTTCTAACGATAACTCTTCTTTTAGTGAGGGTTGGGAAAAATTAGGACTCTATGAATACTACAAAGCTAAGAATGCTGCTAGAAAAATGAAGGAAGAGGCTGTAGCTCAGGGCTTTAGGGAGAAGTCCAAATCTCCTAGTCCAATACCAAAAGACTTGCAGAAACAACCTACCCCACCTGGCAGACGTTACAGGTAAAACTTTATAAATAATAAAGAGTGAGACAGGTAGGAAACGATTCGGGATTTTGCCTAAACACTGAAAAGGGACAGATTTCGTCATGCACAGGTGTAGCTCAGTGAGACTTTTTTTGCCAATATAACTGCCAAAACAACTGCCCATTTAGAATCATCAGCCAGACTATACAACTAGCCTGCGTCTGATCTGCCGGTTGTTAGCAAAGTGTTTGAAAAGTTAATGCTATCTCCGATGCTTCATCACTTTGATAAACATGCCATCTTCTATCCCGAACAATACGGTTTCTGTAAAGGTCGTGGTACAATTGAAGGTGTCACTTTGATGAAGGAAGTATTTGGTGCTTGGGAGGAAGCTCAGGATGCTGTTGGTGTCTTTTGTGACCTCCCAGAAGCGTTCGATTGCGTTGACCATGAAATACTTTTTTTTTTTACTTGCAATAAACTAGTACTTGACTGCGATCCCACCTGATGGTAAGCAGTGATGCAATCGTTGATGGTAAGGCGCACTAGTTTATTAAGAGCCTATTCACTCTAGCCTTGAAGACACCTAAATTGTATTCGGACGGAAAGACTGCAGCCGGCAAACTGTTCCAATCCCTCGATGTACGCGGTATAAATGACGAGGCAAAACGCTTAGTCCGGGCCGCAGGTGTCTCAACAACGTAGGCTAGGGACTTGCTGAAATTAGATCATTATAGGATTAGGCATACTGCATTCCGGCTATTGAAATCTAGAAAAATATTTAGAGGATAGACAGCTGAGGGTTCATGTAGGTGGTTCGAACTCATAGGGCTCTGAGATAAGAATG